AGCTGAAAGGTCTGCTGCATTCCAGGAAATCATTGTCTCAAGCTAACCAGAGGAACTTCGTGTTCGACGGGAGCATCTCAGCGAACGAATCCCCGATTGTCGTGATGAAGCCAGCAAGATCTCCAACTTCATGGAATCGAGCTGGAAGGTTTGGTAGCGACTCTCCACCCTCGAGCTTTCGATCAAGTCCTCGAGCGGGGGTAACCTGAATCTTGCCAACGAGACTCTTCCCACGGTGAGCCCTAGGCGTGAAAGGCCTGAGTTGAATCGGAATGCACGAAATCAATCCAGAGTCAGAAACTTGAGCTTGCCCACTCGCAGCGAGAGCAGTGTGAAGAGCCCAAGCCGGAAGGCTAACGAACACGGAGGAACAGAGGAAAGGGAATGACTCTGTTGGTCAGAGAAGAATCTCTCCGGTTCATTCCCCAAAATTAGGTTCAAGAAGGAATGTACCCCATCAGCAAGTGACGAATAGATCGCCGAGAATGAGAAAACCGGTGGCTGAGACTTACGAGAAGGATAAGGAGTTGAGTATAGCAGAGGATGAATCATCCACCATCTCGGAGAGCAGCATTAGCACGTCTTCGCAGACAGATACAGAGGTAAAGTTAGCGACAATTTATTCATGAATTGAGCATTGTCATTTTGTGGTAAAAATGCTGAGTCAAACTGAATTTAGATGGGTAAATTATGTTTGTGCAGAGATGCAAGTTGGAGGAGTACAAGGAAGGGAGAAATCTATTGGAGAGGTGTGATAAGCTGCTGCACAGCATAGCCGAAATAACTGCGAGCGAGTTGCAGCCGAGCCCAGTCTCAGTGCTGGACTCGTCTTTTGACAAGGACGAGTGTTCATCACCATCTCCAGTCATGAAGCGGTGCATTGATTACAGAGGTGAGCGACATTCATAATTGCTTGTGGTTCAGCGTCTTTTGTATTTAAAATAAAAGCGTTAATTTTCTAGATTTTGCATTTGTCTTGAACTCTATGGTGACGTCTGCTACCCCCGTAGCCAGCTAGTTTATATGCTTCCTCTTTCCCTTTCCAAGGACAGAGCTACACCTACGGTCTACTTTCCTTTTCCGACGTGGGTGATTCTGGTTGGTTAATTGACTACGTCAAAATGTGCGGGGGTGTGGTCCGTCATACCCCACTCAGGACTCAGGAGTCAATGAGCAAATTAATTGGAAGCTACCACTTCACATGCGTCCGGCCACTGTAATTCTAATTCACTTACATACGTAACGCAAGAAGGCAAAAAGCAACTCTTAATAAGGAATAAAAGAACTAGTGTATCATGTGTAGTAATAACTGTTCCTGTACAATATAAAACATGGGCGATTGACACTTGACAGTAATATACTAGCTGAATGTGAGCATATTTGGCCACTCCAATTCTATGTCAAGCATCGGAGTATTTTCGTTTAGGCGTTGTCGGTGTTGTTAATGCTATTTCTCTGTTCATTACAGAACAACCCGCCGAGTCAGAGGACGACATGTGGAGTGCAGCCATGGGTTTCATGGGAGGAGCCAAATCGGAGGAGACATCCGAGGATTACGACTTCGTTTATGTGTCGGAAATCCTGCGAGCTTCCAATTACTTGCCCGAAGACAGCGACATTTTCCTATTACTGGAAAAGCAGCAGTATCTCAAGGGGAATGACACCTCCAAAGCTTCCACCCTCCAAAGAAGACTCATCTTCGACACCATACACGAAATCCTGAAGCGGAATAAACAACTTCCGCCGTGGAAGGCAATTTCGTGGATTGGGCAGACACCGTTGTTGCAGAGAATATGGTCAGAGTTCCGGCGGATCCGAAGAGAGAAGGAGGAATCAGAGGACTTGTTCGACGTAATATGCGGCGTGCTAAGGAAGGACTGGCGGAGGACGGCATGAATGGATGGGGAGAATGCCCAGTGGAGATGGGCGAGGTGGTTCTAGACATCGAACGTCTCGTGTTCAAGGATCTCATCGGCGAAACCATACGAGATCTCGCCCAATCATCTAACAGGCTCTCCGCCCTTCGTAGGAAATTGGTGTTTTGAAATCGGATTAGGAATGCGAGGGAATGAAGAAAAGCTAAAATCCCCCGGAAAAATATTTAAAAAAAGAAAAGAAAGAAAAGACACCAAAAAAAGAAAAAGATGAAGAACAAGAAAAGGGGTCGATTTTGGTTGCGTTGCTCGCTTTTCCTCCGCCTAATCATTTTTTATTCCCTTTTTTAGTGAAGGAATTAGGAATTTGGAAGCTGAAATCTAGGCAGACCGAAGGATGACTATTTTATTTGGGTATAAATAAAGATGGCATTTACTATAATTCTATGGGGAGTGGCTGGTAATTGGCCAAAGCTGTGAGTTGTGACCCCCGCCCCCCGGTATCTCGCCGAATGTTCCTTTCCAAACGAATAATGCGGAAACGCTTCCATCGCCTTTTTTTTTTTATTGTGTTTTTCATTCAACCTTGCATGAAAAGGTTGCAAAAAAATCCCGAAACTTGTTAGTCGGAATATGTTGAGATTAGATCTATCAATGTCTGTTTACGTAATTATATTTTCACCGTTTTAAAATGGTCCCGAAACTGGAATCCAGTATAATGCCCTTTCTTATTGGCCAATTAATTCATTGGATGACTGGCAAGAAAGTTCAATTTCACTGTTTTATATGTTGTTTTATCTCAATCATCGACAGGAGTCCGCAGTGAAATAGTTCATGATCACACGTGGCAGATTGCATTTTCTCCCAAAACATTTAAACAGCATCATCTAAAAAGGCAAATTAGTTGGACGATTTTCGGTGCCCAATTGACGCTCTACCAGCGTTAACCATCATTTAGTAATTCAGTTGGGGGGTAATATTTAAAGAGCAGACTTTTTATCTGAAAGATTACCTCTGAAAAGTACAGCTGAGAACAATGTAAATTATTAATGTTGCGTGATTTGTGAAATGTTTGGTTTGAGAGAGATAGGAGGGTCCCACAAAAGTATGAGAAAAAGGGAACAGCAAAGGCACTTGAGCAATTATAAAGGGAACGGGATGCAGCCGTTTTTGATGCGTGAGAGGCTCACTTCACTTGAAGCGACAGATGGATTTCGTTTCGTTTAAAGGATGCGTCATTCTTCTTCCTTTGTCATTCAATAAATAGCTCTTCTCGCCTCACCCATCCAAACCCATGAAATGAATATAACAAAAAAGCATTCTACACTAAATAAAATGGAAGTGCCATGGGATTAATCATAAGAAGATCGGTTTGAAGCGAGGCGGGCAGTGGGCACAGAACAAGAAATGAGTAGTTAGTTAAGGGTATGGATTGGGAAACAGTAATACTAATAGCAAGAGAGGCATGGATAAGGATTTATAATGAATCTGGGTCCTTTGTGTCTCCCCAGACCCTACTCTCCCTGTCAACATGTCATGCTTATAACAGGTACTCCTTCTGCTCCACAAATAGCGTGTAATGTATCATCCTCCAAGCACGCTTTGAATTGACCTTCACTGCCCTCTCCACATGCTCCTTTGCTTTTCATGCGCAGATCAGTTCGTTATCTTCCTATCCTCTCTCTCTCTCTCTCTGCGCAAATAACATATGTACATATCTCTTTCACCTCCCAACTAATAATATCCCCTTTTATTAGAACAAACAAATTGAAGCAAGCAGTTGAACGGGGTGCAAAATGCGAAGGGGTCCAAAAATTTGCATGATTGGTACCAGCGACTGGATAACGACACCAGCAGGTGGATGGGCTTCATGAAACCTCAAACGGGATCTCAATGTGGTATGAGAAGCTAACACTTGACGGATACCCGATAATATAATTCTTCCTCTCTGTTCACTTCTTTTCTTTCTTTCCTCAATTATGGGATTACGTACTGTTCTGGAATCATTCTAATATCATTCATGTGCCCAGCCAGGGGCTACGTTGGTGGTAGGGTCTGTTCAGGGACAGGACCCCCACATTCCCAGAAAACAACCAAGTGATTTTTCCTCTCGAGTGGGTCCGTGGGGTTGTGATTGCACATTATTAATCCCCAGCCAAACAATCTGCATTAAAAAAGCACAAGAAGCTAAGCTCCTAAACAAGAGGGAGAGGGGTCGTCTGTCATCCGGAAAGGGCACAAACCTAGCAAAGCATGTGTGTTTCCAGACGTGGATGGGTGGAGTTGCAGAAGCACATGCCTCTGCTCTCTGCTTTCTCTCTCTCTCTTACTCTCTCAATCCCTATGAGTTGGCTTCTTTTCATCTAAATACTCATTTAAATCTGTCCAATCCTTGTCCTCGCTGGCTTTCATCTTCACTCTTGTCTCCTTCTTTTGCTCATTAATGGCGAAAGCTTCTTCGCCAAGACCTATTCCTTACCCCCGTTCATGCTTGATTCAGTATATGTTGAATGCCCTGTCCGACCCTTTTTGTTACAATTTTGCCACGAGCTTTCATAAAAATGAAAAAACAATTTAACTTCGATTCAACTAAATAAGGAATTTGAAAAGACGCCGTGCTGGAATTGAAATGGAAGAAGTCAGAGACGGGTGTGATACAAAAACAGCTTTTCGGCTGGGTATCAAAGACAGTACTGGGCCGAATCAATAATCGAAGCGCTTCGAAAAGGACTTTGTAATTTGGACCTATCTGGAAACCCCAAAAAATGTAGTGGGGAAAAAATCTCTACTTTGGGCCTTACCATTATAAGACAAAAGCGATCCTTTCCGGAGAGGCCTAACATAAGAAAATCATTCCCTTGCCTTTTTTTTTTTTTTTAACTTTTCTTTTTGCTACAATTTTTTTGGTTCACTCGCTCGGTTTTCGAGGAATTCAATGTTATTACTTAGAGAAAGTGTGCAATTATCTCATTTAGGTTAGTTTAGCGTACGTGTATGATAGTTGAATTTAATTATTGAGTCATCAAGATTGGTTGTTCATTTAGTCAAACTGTTCGGGTAAATAAACAGTGCAAAGCTTCATTATCAACACAAATCTCACTGTTCTTTTCTCTCTGATTTTGGGTCTTCGGATGTCTCCAGAAATATTTTTTAAAAACACTTTTTTTTATAAATCCAGACAAATTTCTTAACATATTTACTTTATATACTATCTCCAATCCTAAATATAAGAACTAGTTCATTCATTTGAGTAGATTAAAAAAATAAATTAAATTGGTTATTTGTTATAAATAAACAGTCTTTCTTAAAATATCCTTATTAATCAAATATATTGACTATAACTATTATTATTTAAAAAACTACTTTAAAAAAATATATAAATATAAAAAACAAGTGAATTGAAATCTTATAATTAAAACTAAAATAAAAATCAAACAAAATCTTATATTTAAAAACAGAGATAGTACTATATAAAGGCGCAGAGTAGCAGACATTCTCGGGCCATCGTCGATGACGAGGACTCAACTCCTAGAATGCGAGTAATATCAAACCAAACAATAATGAATCATTCAGGAGCTGAAGAAACTGTTAATTTAGACAAGGCCGTTGCAGAACCTCGGGAAACATTTCAGCAATTTCTTGAAGGACGCCCTCCTCCTTGCGTTGCTTGAATTCTAAGAAAAAAGCTAACGCATTGAGATTTGCGAAGGTTAAATGAACTACGGACAGGCTACGTCCTTAATAAATGGCCACCACTATCTTACGTTCAAGTAAAAGGAAGAATTCATGATTCAAGAGCGCTCCAAATCTCCTACAGACTCCATGCAGTAAAACTAAACAAATCCAAAAACACCGACCATATACATTCTAACATTCAGTTCTAATCAAACCAGTCAAGTTTCCCTACACAGCAACCACTACTACCTAACAGTGAAACGAGAAGCAAGGTGCTCATTCTTTGGAAGTTTTGTTGATCAAGGATTTGTGGATATGAGGGATAACTCCACCGCCAGCAATGGTCCCTTTAATCAGAGTGTCTAGCTCTTCGTCTCCTCTTATAGCCAATTGCAAGTGCCTGGGCGTGATCCTCTTCACCTTGAGATCTTTGCTCGCATTTCCAGCAAGCTCAAGAACTTCTGCTGTCAGATATTCCAGAATTGACGCCAAATAAACTGCAGCGGTGGCACCAACACGACCATTCGCTTGGATCCTTTGTTTCAGCTGCCTATGAATACGACCCACTGGAAACTGAAACCCACCCATGCCAATTTCGTCAACTCGAGCAAACAGACATGAAAGCATTCTAGTCAATCATGACAGTCCCAATTTGATACTCTGATTTAACGCTGCCTCAATATTCTTTTGGTGTCGAATGTTACAATCTAAGATGGTAATCTACATGCCTACAACCATTGCCTTGCCCTGATTTGACATCTAAGCGTGCTGAGTCTGAATTTTGGCATTTAAAACTTAAATTAAAAATGTAACTATATCTACGATAACAATGCTTCAAGGAAGTAATCTTGCTAGAAAACTATACTGCGCTCGAACACATCAAGGATTATTTCCCTAAATCTTGCTTGCGTTGGGCAGCATCAAACCAAGATTTCTTAATTATTGATAAACTCTAGGCATGGTCGCGTTCCTCCACAGAGGAAGAGCAACAACTGAGAGTGGGACACGTTGAAAAGGTCGGAAAGAGGATAAGCATAACTTTTTTGTTTTTTTTAGTGACAGAGGATAAGTATAACTAGATCTGGGTCCGTGGACAAAACACAACCAATCATTTGAACACTGTTAGCCATTAGCAACAATTAAAGCAAGGTGCTACTCGACGTCAGCGAGTTATTATAACATAGACGTCCAAATAGAATGAAACGGCGGGAGAGATGTGAGTCACCTGGATTCCGGCACGGGATGAACGGGAAACCGGCTTTTTCTTATCCTTATCTTTGTCCTTGTTAGCGGCCGTGGTTTTCGCAGCAAGAAGACCCTTCCCGCCTTTTCCCGCCATTTCCTACC